TATTCCCTCACATCCCAGGTCTTCATATTTTTTTACTTGTGGTCTTTAGTCACCTGCCCCACCAGTTTTAAAGCCTTCCTCACTAGGTTAGCCCATCTGTATCCAAATATACTCTTCACCTTCCTCGGAACATGGACCCTATCTCTGCTTTGCAGTCCTTCCTGAAACAGCATCTCATGGTTAAGGAAGCTGAAGTCCTCCCTGGTGACACCGTTTTTGCAGCCAGGCATTCACCTCCATGATGGCTCTATCTCTGCTTGAGTACCTATCTTTGACCAGAAGAATCTAAGAGGATACCATCCATACTCCCAGAGTCGTGTAGTCACTTTTGAGCTGCTCAGTGTCATACCTCACAGTGTCATTAGTGCTCACATGGATGAGTAGCATGGGATAGTGGTCAGAGCCTGATGTTCCTCGACAGTGCCTCTAACATCTCAGATACAGGTCCCTATCAGGGAGCATAGAACACGGTATGCCATGTCAGGGCAATACAAAGGTACTCTTCTCCCCCTCAGTCTCCAAACGTTACTACCCTGCATTTGCTCCTGCAAGTGGTGGCTGCAGGGAGATGGTACATGGCTGCTTCTCCTCCACCTTAGGGGATGATTCCTCCTCTCCTTGCCAGGGCAGTGTAACATTTATCCATCAACATAATGGATGGGTTGGGAACAAGGGCAGAGCACTGGCTGCTGCCAGAAGTAATCCAGCTGCCAGTGTCCTCCCTGTGCCATTGCCCTTCGAAATGCAGAAGAATGCAAGTGTAATGAAGTCACTGGCAAGGTTACTCTTGCCCCCTACCCCTCACCTCCAGTTGCCCATCTTTGGCTTCAAGTCTATACTGTGGACTGAAGATGCAAAAAGTAGGAATGCTCAATTGTAACCACTGAGGTACCTACGTTGGTGACTTTTTCACAAATATTAAGCAAGCTCTATGCTAATTGAAGTAGTGGGAGCTACAGGCATTGAATACCTCTGAAAATGAGACCAAATTACTTAGGCACCCACATTGGCAAATGGCATAAACATCCAGCCATTTTCTCTACAGAACCCTGCCCAGCCCACGTTTTTGCTAGTTGCCCCTCCTGTTTCAACAGCGGAATGCAGTCTTGAATAGCAATTTAGATTTCATTCTAGCTTTGAAGCTAATTGGGGAAATTAACCACCTGGTTCTCTAACTTTTTAATTAGCGCTGTTGACTAGATGCATCACTTGGGTTTATGCTAACTTACAAAGGAGAACGGAAGCAGTTCAGAAAACATGAACATACTGCCATAGTGGACAGGATGTGTCTCCTCTGCCCCCTCTTTCCTGCTGCTTTATTCAAAGGTAGCAAGCTCACTGTTTCACAATAGTGAGATGACCACATGCCTAGACAGAGTAATCTCCACTGCCACTCTTCCAGGGTCTCCTTTATCAGCTCATCTTAATGTCACATGTGCACTCATTAAAGCTAGGGTAGTGATTTTAATAGAAGCAATATCCTCCTCTCTATTTGTTGGCACCTGCCCAAGCGGCAAACCTGCGTTAAGTGACGGAGGAGATAAAAATATCTTTTTAATTCCAATTGGGCTCGACAGTAAAGGCAGTCGAATCTGGCTGCCATTGAATCATGCATAGTCCGTTGGGGGCACAAATACAGCCAGCAGTTACCTTCAGGGGGTCCAGATGACTCTGCACATTGTTCCCACCCCCGCCCACAGGCACCACCCCCTACAGCTCCTATTGACCATAGTTTCCAGAAAATAGGAACTGTCGGAGCAGTACCTGCAGTCGGGGTGTGGTGTTTGCATATAGTGGCAGGGTACAGAGCCACTCCTGTCTAGGGGCTACAGGGAGGGTGTGCCAGCCTCTTCCGACAGCAATGCCGGGCCAGGGCAGGCAGGGAGCCTGTATGAGCATCACTGCGCTGCCAGACTTCTAGAGTAACTCACCTAGCTTAGCTTTCAGGAGTCTCCAAGAGAGAGAGCCCAATTCTGAGTGACTCCTGGTGAAACTGGAAGGGTGGCAACTCTACTCCCATACATGCGTTTGTCTTCGGCATGCTAAAGGTTCATAGCACCTATTAATTGTTCTCTCCACTATTGACAACTGGAGCCCTCTGTTAAAATATAGATGCTAAACATGGATTTGGGGGCTAAATCTGGGCATCAAGTTTTAAACTAAAATTTGTGTCTGTAAAATTCAGCACCTAGAGAGACATTTCTTTTGAATGTAGGGGATGTCAGAAAACCTTTCTTGTCGTTAGGCTTGGTCCAGATTAGTAGTATCTTACAAGTAGAACCCAGCAAATTTGTGGATATCTGTGTTATACATGCAGGTATCCACGTCCATGGGTGTGTATATCCACAGCTTGTTTTATTGCAGATGCAGATACAGCTTACTAATGTAGGAATAACTGAAAGTAGAACAATTGTGTATTAACAAAGGACTCCTAGTATGGGCTGACTCCTAGTATGGGCCCACCCAGCTCCCAACTTTCCTGAGCAGAAGAAGCTATGTTCTTTTTCAGTTTTGCCAGTATAATTAAATCTATACTGGGGGCTTTGCCGGCAGAGGCAATGCATAATTGGGGGAGGGCGTAGCTTAAACGTTTAAGAGGGCACATCACTGCCTCACTGTTGCTTATGGTCTATACCAAAGGCTTTCACACTGGGGCATTTGGCAATCCTGGGGGATAAGGAGGCTGGAGCAGGCAACCCAGCAGAAATCTGAGGGGAGTAATACATTCTCCACACCAGCCCCCTCAATTTGCTCACATAGCTGTTTGGCCAGGAATCACGTTTGTTCAATCTCCGAGCGCTGTGCCTGCAGAATCTGTGGTGTAGGCCTGGCCATAATTTAAAAAAAAAAAAATGCAACCCGAGTGGTGCTAATATGAGAACCAGGAAACGAAACAGACTCAATCTTTGTCCAAGTTGTTGACTTTGCCTTAGGTTTTGAGTGCACAATACAGGACACTTGATGCCCAGCTTGTTTTCCCAAGGAATACTGACCACCCACTGTTCTTATTCAGTTTTTGAAAAAGTTTGTGTTAATCCTGTGTGCCTTCAGTTCCCCACTTGTAAAATGAAGATCATAGTATGTCTGTGGCTGGGTAAGCAAGATCAATTTTGTAGTGATTGTAAAGCTACTGAGGTCCTTGAAAGGAAGATTTTTGGATTTCAAAGGGATCGTTATACCAGTGACTTGCAACATGAGTAAGGAAACTTGCTTTTCTTAATTACAGGGTGACCATATGTCCTGTTTTGGCTGGAACTGTCCCTTTTAGGCCCTGCCATGACAAATGCCCACTTTAGCGTGTGTGGGTCTTAACAGGGAGGGTGTGTCCATGCACACATGTGCATCCAGAGAAACATGCAGGGGCGAGGGCAAGCAGCTATGCCATCCCCATGCAGAGGGAAGCAATGCTTCTGTATGGGGTTACGTAGGACTCAGTGAGCAGCAACACCACTGCCAGTCCAATTTTGCACAGGGAGGGGGCTGGACAAATGAGCTTGCCTGACCCACCCCGTTCTCCCCTGGGACTGGCATGAGTCAACACAGTGTCCTCTTCCTTTTGGTAAATATGGTCACCCTTTTAGCAACTGGCTTTTGAGTGGCATCTCTGTGCAGGATTCAGAATTCCAGTACTAATCTGTGTGTTGCTAATCTGACAGCCAGGCACCTGACACTTGCATGTAATCCTCAACCCTTTTCATGCGTCCATGTTTTTCCTGCTTGAGTCCCAAACATTACCTCTTATTGCTGGTTTGCTCGCTTTCCTAACCCCTTCTCATCCTGCTAACCTGCTTTTCCTTTGCAAACTGGTGTCTTGCAGTCCTCTTTGCTAGCTGCTCGTCAAAGCTCCGCTGATGTCCCGACTGCTGCAGATCTTGTCAGTGCAATAGAAAAGTTGGTCAAAAGTAAGCTGGTAAGTGTAGTGTCGTCTTCAAAATTATGTACGGAATAGGCATTACTTGTCCTTTATAATGTGGGTTTGACAGTTTGCCTTGTTTCCTTGCTCCTTTGCACCTGCTGCATTTTTATTAACTCAGAGGTGCACAGTTGTCAGTTGAAAAGTTCTAATATTGGCTGTTCCATGACTAAAAGTAAACACTTTTGCAAACTGATGCAGAGGTTGCACCAAAGCATCATGTAGACTTCGAACAGTGACACCAGTGAATTTCACATATTAGTCTGAGCCATTCCTCAGAACAGACCTAAACATTTGGGTTATATTAAAGACAGGGCCTCTTTTTTCCACAATGAGAGTTTAGCTATGAAGTAGCTGTCATATATTAACATTTTTAGAGAGACTTGGGTAAAGAAAATAACTATGTAGTCCTGCTAAATAGCACAATTGTTTGATATTTTAATGCTTGATAGTTGTGATGAGCCTTCACTGAAATGGATACACCACCTGCGTCATTTCTGCTATTAAAAAAATGATCAGTTTTATTTTGATCTCGGATAGGATGAAAGCATCAAATCCTCTGGCTTTAGTTTATTCTCTTCTAGATTTTACTGTAACATTTGCAATTTATAATCTGAGTGTGAAAGTGGGATTTTTTTATTAGCGGTTGGCTTCCTGAACTGTTCCTTGAAACAACTCTTTAGTGTTAGTCTGTAGAGTAAAACACCTTAGGGTCCATACGCGTGGGGAAATGCTACAGCACAAGTAAGTGACGTTCACGGTGCTAAAGAGTTGAGATAAACCTATGCTGAGCCTCTGAAAGTTCATTTTCTTGCACTCTTTTGAAGGATGAGGAGAATAATAAAATAATGCTGGAATTCCTTTGAATGTGTGGTACCAGTTTTGTCTGGCAAAGTGATTCTACAATAAAAGTAGTAATTTGGTTTTAGTGCTTTCAGTCCTGAGTGTTCAGTACAGTAATAGGCCTTTGTCTACACTAGCAAGTATCATCTTTTGGTGATTAAAAACAAGTGAGCATTTACATTGCAGTGTAACTCTTTTTTTGTCCGGTGACATGCCCAGTTTTGGCAACAAAAAAACTTCCAACCCTTTGAAAGACTTTTGTCTTCTCCCTTTATTGTTGACAAAGAGCCTGTGTGCACTCTGCTGTTTGTTCAAGAGAACTGGCTTCTACCAATATCCCACAATGTCTGTCCTGCTGGCTCTGCTTAGTGTTTTGTGATCTCTGCTGCCCTACTGATATGCACCTTTCCTCCTCTCACCCCCCTCCCCCAAAGCTCCAGGGAAGTCTGACAGCTGAGCAAGCTGCACCCTTTGGGGAACAAAGAACCAATCCATTGAAATGCTCCTGGTCCGTCCTGCTGCTGGGGAAGGGCTGGAGAGCCTGCTATAATGTTTTGACATTCCTTAGCGCACAGAGCTCACAGATTGCCTATCAAGTGCAAGGATTTTCTCTGCCTTCCCGTAACACTGCACTGTGGGATGCTTACCCACATTGCTTTGCTCTGCTAGCACCCTGTCGACAGATAATGTGGCCATGAAATGTCAACAATGGGAGGCAGGAAAAACTGGTTTGACCAGTTTATACTTTTTGGCAACTTTTTGCATATCAATAGCACTTTGGTCTCCAAGCCTTCCCAGTATTGACTTAGCCATTGGATCTGGTTGGAAAAGTGTTTTGCCGTCAGGGTTGTAGTCTCTTGGATGATTAAGTTGAGCATTTGAAGAAAATACGAATTTCAGAATGAACTGCACTTCTTGTGACTAATGTGCTGCTTCTCTAGAAAAGAAGGTGGAGTTCTAGAAACTCCAGACACGAAAAAGATTAAATTGCATTGAGACTGATAGTGTCGAAGGCTTTCATTGCAAGGTATTTATTTCTTCCTTTGTGCCCCACCCACATACAGGTAGCAAACTCAGACTAACGTAAAATTCACCTAGAAGTGGAGATATGACTAGTCATATCTATGTGGGGGGTTTTGTAGTCTTTTTGTTTATTACTTTACTGAAAGGTATCTTCATTAATCTTCCACATAACCTATTAAATTCTTGTAGCTTTAATCCTATCTTGAACAGTGGGATTTTTTTTTTCTCTTTTTGCAGATAGATACTTTGGCATAACCAGCATTTTCATCCTGTGTTTAATGGTGGATGCTTTCTGCTCCACTGCAGTGAATCAGCCTCAAGATTTCAGATTGGTTATAGTTCATGTTGATATGGAAAAACAAACTAGTTTTAACTAAATCACTGAGGTGGGGCAGCAAGGGACATAATTGAACATATAATTTTTCATTACTCAAGATTGCCAAGTGACCATTGCAACAGAAGGTAACGCTCTAGCTTTGTAGCTCAAGGATAATGTTTTGTTCTGTAATGATTGGTTTTTAGACCCTAGAAGGAGGAACTTATCGAGGAAGCTTAAAAGATGGCACTGGGTGTCTAAATGAAGGGATGACACCTTCAACTCCACCAAGAAACCTTGAAGAGGAACAAAAAGCCAAAGCAATGAGAGGGAGAATGTAAGTTATCAAGCTGCTTTTATTTCTCTCACACACACAACAGAAATATCTACACTTGTAAAGTAAGACACTGTGCTCTAGTGAAGGATGCTCGGGACTGCTACTCTGAAAGCTTGAATTTATCCTACTCTGTGCTCATCCAGTTTTTAAGTTTATTGGAGATCAATGGATTTTTATGGTCCGTGGAGGAAGAGGGGAAAATAGTGCATCTTTATGATAGGATAACTAAAGTTACCGGTAAGTACCATTGTCAATCCTGCTGTAAACGCCTAGCACAGATGAATAACTAAAGTTACCGGTAAGTACCATTATCAATCCTGCTGTAAAAGCCTAGCACAGATGAGTGAAATCCTATGGAGGATGGTAAAGCATTAACCTCAGTCAGCCACTTCAGGGACCTTATCTCAGTTAGCGTTTTACAGTAAGAACTACTGCACAGTAATTTAGTCTTGTGGGCCCCGGGAAGGGGAATTGCCTTTTTTAGCAGTGGCTTAATGAAAGGCTCATTCTGTAAAGCTCCATGTACATGCTGAGGAAATAGTAGCTGGTTTAAAAATAATTTGATGTATCTATTTATACAGTACCAGAAACGTGTATGTTGACTTGCAGACAAAAGAGAACATACCTACCCTGACCGTGCGTGCCTAATTTAAGGCATGCCTTGCCATGTGACTTATCACAGGCAAGGATGAGAGACAGTGAGGCTGGGAAGGGAAGTCAGGGTTATAACCATAAGATGTTGTGGCTCACTGGATTATGAAATCTTGTACATGAGCACTATTAACATAACTTCAGACTCTGTTTGAAGGTCAAAGTTAGGATGTGTAGCTCTCGTGGAAGTTAGCAGGGAAACAGACTGGTTTGGGGAAGGTTCTAGGCATGGGAAGGGAGTTGGAGCAGGGGAAAGATCTGCCACTTGGCTCCTGCTGGCTGAGGGCTTTGAAAGCCTGTGAGTTCCTTGAATTTAATTATTTCTCTGCCTTCTGTGTCAGTGTGGAGCTTGATGTAGTCACCACCATAGACAAAGTGAAACTTCCTTTGCAACTACATTTTTGAATGAATTGGAGCATCAGGTTGAAGATTAGCACTCAACTTAACCTGTCAAACTCCTTTGATCTGTGAACTCTTAATCTTTCTCCTAAAATTGCCCCAACATTGCAAATATTTGGTTTTGGTATCTGTCTGAATGAATTACCAGCTTATTGCGAGTTAGCTTTTCCCTGTAGAGAAATCTGCCATTGATGCATGTGGCTTTTTGAAATGAAGGAAGTTCTGGCAGTTGTGCACTGCATATGTTTTGTTTCTGTTCCAATAGGCAGCTGAGAAGCAGCTGCAAGTAGCTTTCAGGATAAACCTGCTCCTTTCTCCTTCAGCTACAGGTAAACCACTCTAGTCTGGCACCCTCAGGACCTGTCTAGTATGGAATCAGAGAATTTGCTGAACCACTGGAGGTCAATATTGTTCAGCAGTGTTGCTAATACTTCCACTGCTTACTAGGCTCTTGGCTTTAGTTTACCCCTAAACAGGGCCAGCTTTAAGAAGTGCGGGGTCCAATTCAAACAATTTCAACAAGGCCCTGCAGCACCACACACGCGTTTCAACAGGGGCCCCAGAAATTTTTTTGGCAGAGCCCAAAGCACGCACAAAATCCCCAGCTACCTCCCCCACAAAGTCCCAGAGGCAGTGTGTGTGCACGCGCACACCTCTCCCCCTGCAGTGTAGGCCCCCCCCGGACTCCGCCTCCGGGGTTGACGCCCCCTCCCGCAGCGTGCCCGGCACACTTCCGGTCAGGGGCGGCAGGCTTGTATAATTTTTGGTGTTGTCCCATTAGCCACATCCCCAACCCCCATTAGCCAGGCCTCTGGAAGTAACCCGCTCAGGGGAAGATGGACACATGACCATAAGTAAAAGGTGTCATGTCACCCCTCTTGAAGGACTTTTCCCACCATCCTCCTACCAACAGGGATTAGTTTGGCCCCCACCAAACGCTGCTCATGCAACTATCCTGCAATTGCATTAACCCAGTGTGTGTGACATTAACCCTGGGGGCAGAGAGGCTGGGGGAAGTGTTCCCTCTAAGGCTATGTCTACACTTGTGGCTTCTTGTGCAAGTACAGCTGTTCTTGTGCAAGAACCCAGTAAGGGTGGTGCTTACCAGTTAACAGCCTTTAACCATTCACACCCCTACACATCTCAGGTTGCTACAATTCATCCTGAAGGATGCTGAAGATCTTGCCCTCAGATCTATGCACACTGCATTGCTGGCACTGTTGATGTTTGTAACTTTGATCTCATGGACACTTGAGGACAAATTCTGCTTCATGTTAACTAATGAATCTTCTGGGGGATAGACGTGTTCCTTCTAGGGATGTTAGCGTCTAGTCGACTCTTCAGTAAGCAGGAGCTTATCAATTAGCACTATCGACTAGTTGCTTTCCCCTTCCTCCAGCGGCAGCTTTGCACTCAGGCTTTCCTGGGCTTCACAATGTAAAGTTGCTAGGTTGGCCCCTGCTCCGGGGATGTCCTTTCATTCATTACACAGTGATAGAACAATCCCGGGGGAAAAAAAACAGAGACCATCTCATTCCAGGCACATCCTGTTTTTCCTGACACAACCAGACTCCTATGTTCTATGTTGCTGTAAGTTATGATCAGAGGAAGCTGTAAACCGAATTTGATGGTCCTAGCTCTTACTGTTTTAGAGAGTTTGTCTGTTTGATCAGCTCCTCAACGTATGGTAGATAATGCAAGTATGGCAGTCCAAGGCTTTATGATTATTTCTATTTCAAGAGAGTTAAGTTCCCTCTTCATTACAGAGAAACTTATTAGCACTATGTGAACTAAATTCCATCTAGTTCAAACTCAATGCAGTGATAAAACTATCAAGATAAAGGACTGCTCATGCCTGGTGTCACATTGTCTACATCAATCAACAATGAGCCACCTCAAGTGACAGCACAGTGATCTATAGGGCTGATACCTTGAGCCAGTCTTCACAGCAGGGCAAAGGCATTCCAAGCTGATCTCTCATAACAGAATGTTGTTAATGTACTTACTGTATGATCAGCCATACTGTATGAACTATGCAATAGGCGCCTCCACCTTCAAGCCCCTCAATGATATTGCACCACTATTTGGCGCCCCGTTTAACTTGGTGCCCTAGGCGACTGCCTAGTTTGCTTATGTGGGCAGGCTGCCCCTGATATATAGTATGACGACAGTGTTGGTAGCACCCCTTCATGCTGTTTGGGCAAAGCACAGGAAGCTTTTCTGTAAATCCTCTGCATGGAGAGATCACGTTGCTTCTTGTTGAACAGCAAAATCCAGCTCCTTTGGGTAAAAGCCTTAGTGTAGCAGCAGAAATGCCAGCTGGCCACATGTTCCAAGAACTACTCTGCCAAGTTCCATACATGGGTAAATACATGTTGGGCAAACTGCTGCTCTTCTAAAAAGCAGCAGCACCTATCCCTGGGCAAGCATATGCCCCATGCTGCTTTTTCCAGGCTGACCTACTATGCCCTGTTAAGGAATATGCTGCATCTTCTTTGACACGGATATACAAGCAGATCTGATATACAAGCAGATTTGCTAACAGAGGGTAACCCTGAATGGAGTACTAGGAAAGACACTTGTGCTGCTGCTGCTCTCCAGGAACGCTGGGTGTTGAAAGAACTAGAGATGTTAAAGTGCAATTACTTCCCTAACCGAATAGTTGATTGTCGACTATTTGATTAAAGACAATGGTAAGCAGTTGCAGCATTCAGTTTGGCTCATGCTGATTCACAGCAAAATCTCCCCAGCTGCAGCTCTGCAGTGTGAAGCCCAGGGAAGCCGGTAGCTTGGCCCCTTTTCCACACACGCACATGGGGAATCTGAAAAGACACATTGTGGCCTCTGTCATGTCTATGCAGTTTGTCTGTGGAATGGCTGACCATACAGTAAGTACATTAACAAACATTCTGTTATGAGGTATCAGCTTGGAATGCCTTTGCCCTGCTGTGAAGACTGGCTCAAGGTATCAGCCCTATAGATCACTGTGCTGTCACTTGAGGTGGCTCATTGTTGATTGATGTAGACAATGTGACACCAGGCATGAGCAGTCCTTTATCTTGATAGTTTTATCACTGCATTGAGTTTGAACTAGATGGAATTGAGTTCACATAGTGCTAATAAGTTCCCTCTTCATTACAGAGAAACTTAACTCTCTTGAAATAGAAATAATCATAAAGCCTTGGACTGCCATACTTGCATTATCTACCATACGTTGAGGAGCTGATCAAACAGACAAACTCTCTAAAACAGTAAGAGCTAGGACCATCAAATTCGGTTTACAGCTTCCTCTGATCATAACTTACAGCAACATAGGAGGCTGGTTGTGTCAGGAAAAACAGGATGTGCCTGGAATGAGATGGTCTCTGTTTTTTTTCCCCCGGGATTGTTCTATGAGAAGCAATCACCAAAGCAAGTACAGACCTCAACATTTGCTGAGTTATTAGTTTTGAAACACTGAACTAGGAAGGTACAGAAAAACAGAATCCATTTGAATCATGATTGTCTCAAACCTTACAGAAAATGGGGAAATTTGGGGTTGTGCTCTGTTTTGGCACAGCTAAATCAATGCTTAAGAGTTGAAAACTAGAAGAAATGTTGAACTAAATTGGCTATCCCTTTTTTGTTAAAACATTAGTGAATTATAACATTTATAGGGATTAAGAAATACACTTGATGAAATTCCCATTTTAAAAAAATTACTTAAATGGAAAAATTTTAATAATCCCTTTTAAGAAATCAAATTTAAAATAAAGCATGTACCTCTTTTCTTCCAAAAAAAGGGGGGGGGGAGTGGGGAGGGACTTCTAGCTTACCATAATAGCTCAGTCTGTTGGAAAGGAAATGGGGTTCATTCTTCTAGCATTAAATCAAAAGTGAAACCGAAGGAATTGTTTTCAAAGTTATGCAAGGACATAGTAAAGGAACTCTGCTTATGTGGATGGGGTCTC